TTCTCCTTCAAAAACCGGTGTCAAGTGTTGCAGTCTTAATAAAAAGGACCAGCCGAGAAAGCGGGAATACATCCCTACCACTGTCTTTTCTTTCATCACTGAAGAATCTGAGACAGAAATACAGTGAAAACATGTTCATTAAGTTGTGAATACACTGACAATAGCGTTCATGCTTAGTAAACACAGGCGTCTAGTAGAAAGGTTTCGCAACACATGTAATATCGCAGTAATATTGCCCGGCACACACGTACATTACTATCCGGTATCACAACGTGTGAGTATAATTACGACTTCGTGGTTTCAAAAAGCCCAGTCATTACACAAGGGACACGCGTTACTGCACTTATTCCCTTAATATCATGTAGTGGGAACATGAAAAGTATCAAAACATACCACGCGCATGATCAAAACATGCTTTCCAATACACAGAATTCAGCCTAATACAAACGCTTTACTAATACAAGCCACTTTCTACTTTTTTGGTTACACTATAGTAATGCACGATTGAAACTTCTCCAGTAACACGATGCAATAAAATGTATTTACAATTGTTTGAAGGACGTGCTAGGTACAGGATAATGCTATCACATTAAAGTATTCAGGGCGAAGCTTAAGGCTCCCCCGATGTTTTTTCTTGGCGCTCTTACCATACCGAATTGGTATATGAGCATGAATGAAATAATAATAAAGCTCTCTATGGTGTTCTTATAGTGCCTGGCTAAGTCTATGTTTGGCGTTGCAGGCAAAACTTTCATAACTGCACTTAAATACCCATTTTCAATATCGGCTCCTAATTGAGTACTATTCACCCTCAAAATTGAGTTTTAAGGGCCCTTTCACACCACTATTTATGTTGCCAGGTAACATTGACTGCGAACAAAGCAACGAGTACAAAGGGTGTCGTTTTAACCTATCACAATGATTGTCATTTATCTTGCGTTTCTTTTATTGCATTATCACTACGTGCACAGTACTTTGAGGTCATGAACGATATGCACGTTGGTCAGCCTGACTTAGCGTTCTTGATAGGTAAGTGGCCAGTGCCGAGTTTTCTAGAAAAGAGGTCCAAGTAAAGCAGTTGATGAATATTGTTGTCAGACAAGAAGACACCCTTTTTGCTCATCTTTTATAGAGTGTGTAAACAGCGTTTTGGGTTTCTACATAGTCCTGCAGCTCAACTAACTTCTGGATAACAACCGCTAGAGGTCGGCCACCACCACGGCCGGACTAGAAACACGCGTTCTGTGTCACGGCCTTTGCAATTCAGTTCAAGGCAACGGTAGCGTTTCTCTGCGGTTAGAGTCAGCAGGCGCAGCGACCCTGCCATAGGTAAAAGTGTTTTAGGAGCGAAGCTCCTTAAGGCGTGGGCTGTGCGTCCCCTGTATGTAGCCACCTCTCGTTCAGTTCTAAGTATTACGCTAGCCACCGCCCAACCTAAAGGGTACAGCCATATCCATCCGTCCATCCGTCCATCCGTCCATCCATCCATCCATCCATCCATCCATCCATCCATCCATCCATCCATCCATCCATCCATCCATCCATCCATCCATCCATCCATCCATCCATCCGTCCGTCCATCCGTCCGTCCGTCCGTCCGTCCGTCCATCCATCCATCTGTCCATCCATCCATCTGTCCATCCATCCATCCGTCCATCCGTCCGTCCGTACATCCATCCGTCCATCCGTCCGTCCGTCCGTCCATCCATCCATCCATCCGTCCATCCGTCCATCCGTCCGTCTATCCGTCCACCTGTCCGTCCCTCCGTCCGTCCGTCCGTCCGTCCGTCCAAAAGATGCAAGATGTTATAAACTAGACGGCGGTACGTGTAGTTGATTATGAAAGATGCGAGGTGTTATAAAATAGGAATGATGCCACATATGGCGCGTGTCATCGTTCGATATAGTGCGGCGACGTACGCTAGGGGGAGCGTTGCAATAAAATCGAGTGGGCAAAATGTACGGAGGATTCATGGTTTACCAGGTTTACGTCCGGAGCTTCGCCCACTCATCATCATTCACTTCGTGGATATGGCGGCATTTTTTTGTCTACTGCTTGGCAGCGTTATCTTTGTTTTGTTTGGTCTTTTCTCTGTTGTGCGTCTACTTTTGCATGGCCTGCAGTCACAAACGCAACGAAGAACAATGGCAAGGTAGCAGCTGACAACACGGTGCTGCGGCGGGATGTGGAAACAGACGCACTGCGAAGGCCGTAAGACGGAACGCTTGCGTGCCTTTCGAGTCCGGCCGTGCCACCTCACGTTATCGCGTTGGCATGGCGCGAGCAGTTGGCTGAGGCAAAGTAGTGCACCACCATCAAGGGGTGAAAGAATGAACAGCAAAAGAAAAAAAAAACGTCAGGGGCACTTGGACTACGTTTTGTTTGTAGTTTACTTCTTAAAGCGTTCGCTGAAAGGTAAGAAACTTGCTCTACGCAATGATACCTGGCCAATAAGGGGAAGCTCTCCGTTCTCTTTTTAGCGGTTTAGCCATCTGCTTCTATTCTGTATTTTCCAGTATTGTCAAACAGATGGATACCCGGATTATGATCATGATATGTGGGGTTTAACGTCCCAAAACCACCATTTGATTATGAGAGACGCGGTAGTGGAGGGCTCCGGAAATTGTGACTACCTGGGGTTCTTTACCTTGGGCCCAAATCTGAGCACACAGACCTACACCATTTCCGCCTTCATCGGAAATGCAGCCGTTGCAGCCGGGATTCAAACCCGCAACCTGTGGGTCAGCAGCCGAGTACCTTAGCCACTAGACTACCACGGCGAGGCTACCCAGATGTGTGCTGATTCAAACGTGGAAGCTACGTTTACGATGCTACAGAATAAAGTGACAGACAGCATTCAGCGAACATTGCGGTGAAATGGGCCATCGCTGAGTTATGTTGATCTATCATTGCCTCTTTTCCTCTTTTGTTTGATAAAAGATAACTTTTATTCTTTGAGTAGATAGAGGCCGCGCACATCTTCGTTTTAAATAATTTCTGTTGGTGCAAACATCAATAACGCCTACATTCACAACGTTGTTAGCATAAAACGTATTTTTAATGCCTAGTTTGGTGCCTAAAGAGCACATCTTTATCAAACTCGGCTTCCACGAATAACTTCGAGTAGGCTACTAATCAATGTAGCTCTTTGAGTAGAGGAGACTAATGCGGACTCGTTAGGGTACGTCACTGCAAATAAAAAAATTGTGAGACAGTCTAAAAGTGGCAAATGATACAGCGCAGACCGAAGTGGAGGTAGACGGCTTATGTTTCCTAGGCGTACGCTATCAAAGCAAGGAAATGAAACAGAAAACTTGTTAAAATAAGCCACACCAGATGCTAGTAAAAGCGGGCGCATAACGGATGTTAATGCTGATGCAGACCGAACATCAACAGCAGAAGTTTGTGAAAGACAACGTGTTCTACTGCTCGAGGGCGGAACAAGCATTCAATGCATCGCTGGAAGAACTGGCGCTGCACATATTTCAGTTGATTAGGCACGCCTGACTTGGAACTAAAATGAACACTGACGAAAATGATGTACATAGAATATGTGTTTGTTAGAGGTATTCATCATGAGGCATCATTGTCGGGGTGCAAATGACATTAAAAATTGTGTAGAAGAGAAACAGTAGCTCATGCGATACCACTGATTTGATTACCTCTAAGGTCACACCACTGTGTTTGAATCGAGTGAAAATTGACGGGTTGCTTCGCCGTGGGCACAACAGCTTACCATTTTTTTTACTTTTACCTGCTTGAACAGATGTTTGGCAAACTGCGTGAAATGACTAGAGCATCAATACATTTGACAAGTTAATTAAGTGTGGTGGTTAAAACATGCAGGTGAACTAAATAAAGGATGCCGATAAACATTGCACTCTTTCAAATGCGAAGCATCTCCTACGGACCGTTGCAACTTTGACTGTATCTGTCTACCTACATATCTGTCTATCTAGCCGCCGACTTTAACATCTCCTGACTGTTTCGATATTGGTATTTATACCGAAAATGGTATGGCATAACACGTCTGTATGAGGAGCATAGTGACTAGACATAACATGAAAATCATGACATGTATTCATGAATGTCATGATTTACGTGTCACGGTCTTGCTGCTGTTGCGGTGGTTTTGTTCCCATGACAAGTTACAAAAGTGGTGTAGAAGGACATACCTGCTCGGCGAACACTAGTGCACGCAAGCCCTAACGTGGAAATCACTGACATGCATGTCATGTAAGGCATGACTACACATCAGGCTCATTATGTGCTTGATGGCCGTTTTGATAGCTTCGCATACACCGAATTCGGTGTTACGTGACGTGAATGGTCACCAAGGTGACTGGTAGAAACATATTAATCACGACGTGCGTGTGTTGTAAGATCATAGCTATATTCCACGCTCATTATGCGCTCGCGGCCGTTTCGCTAGCTTCACATATACTAGATTCGGTATTACGTGATTTGAATGGCTGACAAAAGTGAATGACATGTCCGAACATAATAATCATGGCATGCATGCCATGTAAAACATAGCTACATGCTACGCTTATAGCGGGCTCGCGGCTGTTTGGCCAGCTTTGCATATGCAAAATTTGGTATTAAGTGACGTTAACAGACAATGAATGTAAATGACGCATGCAATCTAATAGTGATAACATCCGTGCCATGTAGAACATGACCACATGCTACGCTGATAGCGCCCTCGTAGTCATTTCTCTAGTTTGGCATATACCAAATTTGGTATTCGTGCATCTTATCTCAATGCGTGAGTGCGGATACCATTTTTACTTGTGTTTACTGTCTACTGCGTTCGTCCGCCTCGTAACGTTGTGCTGATTATAAAAGGACATATCAACCTTCCTCATTCGTGCTTCGCATATCAGCGATTCCCGCTTTACGTAATATCTGCCAATTTTTTTTCTCTGTTTTCTATTCTCGTTCCTTGCTTTCTTCTCAAAACAATACAAACTCGAAGTTAGGATGGCTTGATACTCACTGTGAGATATTACTAAAACTCGTTAACGGTTCTGTCGAGAACTCGTGCCGGTAAACAATGCCGAAAACTAAATGCTGAAAGAGCTCAAATTCAAGGCATAAAATTGGTCATAAAGCAGTGAATTGTCGACTGGTGAATATCACTTTTAATTATTTTTAGTGATGTCTCGCCCACGCTCGTTGACAGTCGTGTAATGGAAGTTCATGTGGTGGAATAAGTTAAGGTTCATTCAACTGGTTCCATGTTTTTTAGCTTCATTTAAGTGTAAATGTCAGTCAGTTTGTCTTGGACCTTTGTCACATCTACCTGTAGTTAAATGCTAGACTGTGCGTGTTCAATGAGCAACGCAGCAACCCATGACGTTTCCTATCCGCGAATGACCAAAATGTGCTTGCCACTTGCGATAGCAAATAGCACATTCAGGCTGCTCAATACTTGGGATATTCCCAGATGCTCCTTTAAAAGTTACGTCATTAGGTGAACCGAGATTATTATATTACCAAGAACTTTTCTGTGGACTGCAGGCATCTTGAGCATTGATGTATGTATGTATGTATGTATGTATGTATGTATGTATGTATGTATGTATGTATGTATGTATGTATGTATGTATGTATGTATGTATGTATGTATGTATGTATGTATGTATGTATGTATGTATGTATGTTTGCATGTATCTCGCTATCTAGTCGCCCACTTTTGGCGACCACCTTAACGTGAGGTAGACAAAGAAATCACAGCATTTCCATAAAATAAATGATGATGAGGGGGGCAAAGCGTCCGTCTGTCCGTCAGCTCTTCCATCCATCTGTTCGTCCGTCTGTGCATCCGTCCGTGCGTCCCTCTGTACCATCGTGCATCTGTTCGTGTATCCATGCGCCCATCTGTGCGTCTGTCTGTCCTTCCGCTCGTGCGTCCATCCGTGCGTCCATCCGTGCGTTCATCCGTGCGTCCATCCGTGCGTCTGTCTTTGCGTCCGTCCATGAGTCCGTCCGTGTTCTTATTTACTTTGGTCTCAAGTGCTCTGGCGTTCTGATGCTCTTTTGCGCTGCGTGTACGCTTGGTGGGCGAATGAAGATTCAGTGATAGCCCTGCAACGACCCCGTTCCCGCATATTAACTCTTCATGAAGTCCTCCGAATGTGAGTATGGCTACCATCTCGGTGATTTCTCTGGCTGCAGTGAAGCAACACATAAAAGTAAAGGTGATAGTGAACGTAGGACGTGACGTTGTGCATTATGCAGAGCGCCAAAATTACTACAGCGAAAGGACAGGCGATAGATACCTACTTTTCAGTCGCCTTGGCAGAGATAGCTCGTAAATAAGAGATGCTTTCTAGCTTTCCATAGCAGGTTGATGAATTAAAAGCTTCAATTCAATCACTGCCTCGGAAATTTGATGATTTACTGAGTCGTCAAACTGCCCAGGAAAAAAAAACTAGTAGCTAAGTTCGAAGAAAATTCCAAGCCAAGTGAAATTCAGCAACTCAGTGCATCTATAAACGACCTTGAATGACGCAGCAGGAAGCTTATCGTTGCAGTGCACAGAATACCAGTAACCAATAACGCAAATATCATCACAAAGATAAATAAAGTAGAAGATTTAGTGAACTTGTCACAGCTGGCGGCTACTGATGTAGAGGCAGTACATAGGTTGCCTTCGCGGCAAAGCAAAGTACCTGGAATTGTCCTGCTTTCACAGCTCTCTCTGCTATACAGATGGATCATAGGACGCAAAGCTCTACGTAACATGAATGCTAATAGTTCAATCTCTGAAGACATCACCCCCCAAAGCCAGAAACTGGTGCAGGACGTGAAAGAATGAACACCTGCAAACGATAATCACTTCGCGTAGCATAGCAACGAGAAAATTCTTGTTCGAAAGAATGAGAACAAACCTGCGGTTGTCATCTGCTGCATGACTGACCTTGATAAACTGTCCTGCATTTGAAATTCGATAACAAACGTTTCTAATTATCTGAGTTATTTTTTAGATCGAGTAAACTTCTCGGACTTGGATACCTTCATGCGAAGTCACGATTTGAATAGCTACCGTTGCATCACTTTAACCTAAGAACTGGTAAAAATCAGAGAGATGAACTTGACTGCTTTTCCGGTGGTACGCAATGTCCATATAGTGTTGTCATGTTTCAGAAACATGGTTTGCTTCAAAAGATGACGTGCATGGCTTTCCCAGTTGCAAAACTTTTTAAATGAACCCACAGGATAGACGTGGGGGAGGTCATTTAAGGCTGATTTCAAATTTCTTCAGCTCTAAGAATCTTTCCGAATTCCTGTTGAAATAATAAGCGCTATGACACTGTTGTAGTTCAGTGTAAAATGATTATATGTTGCGTTTGCTACCGGCTCCCGTAGTGAAATTATTTGCTGCTTTTTCATACTTAGATTCGATATTCGAATTTGTTAACAGTAACAGTTAAGAAATAGTTCTTGAAGAAGACCTGAACCTAACTATGCTTACCAATAACAAGCTGAAATAAGAACTGGAATCTCTCCTAAATACTCATCTCTGTCAGAATGTTATACCATCACCTACGCGAGTTACGGCAACGGTTGAAAGTAGATTTGTTCATAACTAACTTTCACGTGTCTTCTGTAAAACCTTCTGGTTGGTTTAGGCCATTAGTGACCACTTACCTGTGTTTATGTTTATTACTACCGCAGTTGAAAAGCATACACTGGTACATTAAGCGTTCTCTTATTGGCTCACAGAGGGTAACACGTTGTTGGCATTCGGAGAACGTATTGCTAGGGCCACATGAAAGAATGTGTATAAAAAGTGCAGATGCGGCTGATGACAAGTTCATGCAACTACTTTACGAAATATACTGCGCTTGTTTTCCACTAAAAACTCTTAAACAGACGAAAAGATGTCGCAAACCATGGGCAGATAAGTGCTCGCTTACGTTTGCAAACAAGAGGGACAGGTTGTACAGCTTACTTATGCAAACTAAATCACCGGAAGCATTAGAAACATTTACAGAATATAGAAGCTACGCCACAAGACAACTAAAGGAAGGTAAGGAGCACTACCATTTTTAATGTGTTCAATTCAGCTGCAGGATGGCCTGGTAAAATTTGGAGGACACTCGCTCTAATAACTGGGACTGCGCGTGAAAGAACTATGGCAGTCCTAAAAGAAGGAATTGAACTGAAAGGTGTTGACCTTGCTAATGCGTTTAGTGCTTTTTTTGTCCCTCAGTCAGGCATATTGCCGCGAACCATGCAATGGGTTTTGTTTATTTGTGTTTTGTTTTTTCGGCCTGGCTGCGCCGGCCTGTGCTATCACTGTTTTCACAGCGTTTTGAACAAACGCTATCACAGCGTTTCGAACAAACGCTAACAGCGCTTCGAACAAACGCGTTTCAAACAAAAGCGCTTCGAGCGTTCCGAGCGAACGGCGTTTCGAACAAACGCTATCACGGCGTTCTCGATACAATTCGACTATTCGAGAAACCCTCGCGCTGAGGGATATAAATTCCCGCACAGCCGATGTCGCGACACTCGCTCGCCGACGCTCACTAGCGTGCCCGTCGTATTGCCGGCCGCTGCTTCTTCGCCTGTGTATTCTTTCAGTTGATAGGGGAGCACAGGTTCGCTCCAATAAGCTTGGTTTCCTTATAGACAACTGCGTCGTCCTTTGCTGCGTGACATCTGGTGGAGGTGCGGGGTACAGGAGCCCTAAGCCATTGCCAAGCCGACAAGCAAGCCCAACACGACAAGCACGCCCAACTCGTGTCATCCGCCGACAGCAAGGCCTTCAGCCAGAGGTTGGACTGCTCCCGGATATAAAAAGGAAAGAAGACGTAAAAACCACGATGATCAACGCAGACACAATGACCAGCGCTACCAACCCTCCCATCGTTCTGCAACAACCTCGCGAGCCCCCATCATACCGAGGATCTCGTTGTGAAGACCCGGAAGAGTGGCTGGAGAAGCTGGAGCGCATCCGCATCTTTAACAGGTGGGATGACGAAGAAACGTTTCGTCATGTCTTCTTCTATTTGGAGGATGCAGCTCGAACGTGCTTTGAGAACCATGAAGGCTCCCTAGCCGACTGGACTGTCTTTAAGAGCGAATTCCTCAAAACATTCGCTACGGTTGTGCGGAAAGAACGAACCGCCCTTTTGTTGGAGACGCGAATGCAACCTAACGAAGGTGTTGTACTGTTCGCTGAGGAGATGAAGATGCTGTTCCGGAGAGCTGACCCCGAAATGGCAGAAGATAAAAAGGTGCGCTTTCTGAGGCGGGGAGTTAAACAAGAGCTCTTCGCTGGACTCATCCGCAACCCCCCTAAGACTGTCGCTGAGTTCGTCACCGAGGCTTCGATGATCGAGAGGACCTTGGTTATGCGTTCGCGCCAATACGATAGACCACTCAACACCCTTTCGGTGAACCTGGTAAACGCCCCTGGATTGGCGACGGAAGACTTGCGGGAGACCATCCGCGCCGTCGTTCGCGAGGAACTGAGGAAATTGTTCCCAGCAACGCCGCAGCCCCAAGTCGCCTGCCTCACTGACGTCGTCCGCGAGGAGGTTCAGCAAGCACTGGGGAACTCCACGCCGTCGGAAGCATCTTGCAAACCACAAGCGATGACCTACTCCGCTGCTGCTCGTCGACCCCGACCCGTCCCAACCCGTTATCAAGAGACCCCGCCGTACCACCGCCCAATGTCGTCCGCCCGACCCCCTGTAACCCGAAACCAGGCGCCCAGGAAGACCGAGGTGTGGCGAACGCCAGATAATTGTCCGCTGTGCTACCACTGCGGAGAGGCCGACCACGTCTACCGCCACTGCCCGTACAAGAGGCTGGGTTTGCGTGGGTTCTCCGTCGACGCACCCCGCCCGCGAGCCGGCCAGCGCCCATTTGAGATCGAAGAATACCTGTCGAACACCAGCCGTGGACCATCCCGTTTGAACTGTTCGCCGTAGCCCTACCCGTACCAATCCCCCAACCGTCGCAGCAATGCTGACTTCACCCGTGGAAGGTCCCCCAGCCCACGAGGGGGAAACTAAAAGCAGCAACTTTTGGAGGTGAAGTTGCACAACGGCGGGAAAATGAAAACCCTCCAATGACGC